TTAGTAAACACTTATTATTTTTCGTTGAGGGGTTCGTAATATCAAGTTTTTTTCGCTATCGATATTTGGATTGCACATTACTAAAGACATCTGGAATGTGACAAAAAGGCAAACCTTCATCGCTTTACGGTTACCATTTGTTTAGACTGATCAGAATACATGCTTGTGTGAGAATACAACTGTTACTGGTGTATATATGTCACTTAAGTAGAAATCAGTTATAGAGGTTGAGGCTTGCATTATTTCTTTTTTAGTTGTAATCAGTTAAATTTTATAGTAAGTTGTGCTGATTGTTAATTCTATGAATTCAATATTAGGGTACCAGACAATCAGAATTCTTAAACTGATTGTGGCACGTTCACCTTCACCAAGATATTTTTGAGGTGCTTTTCCAATTATTTAGGGACAGTTTTGGTGTCACATTTTAAGTACATTCGTCTTTAGTTTTACATGTGTTTAATTGGAATATTTTCACACAGCCGCAGAATAAATAATAAAACTCACGGTTGTTTTTTGGCTTTTGTTAAACAGACTATCATGGATACTTGAAAATTGCTGCGGCTCAGATATCTGTCATCTAAACAACATTATACATCATTATTTTTCCAAAATTGATTTCAACGCCTACCATGTCTAGCTAGTTAAGTAACATTAACATTTTACAGCCTTCAATCAATTAAAGATCTAACAAATAATAATATAGGTATATCTAAAATATTTAGTACCATTGTACTTTCGGATTGTAGATAATTTGCATACCGGAAGCCATATTAAAAAAATCTGATAAGATATCGATGGTCAGTAGTTTTATCAAAACCGTTTTTATCCGTTGTAAACTTAAAGGGGTATTACAACAGGAAATGGGTTTAATAGTATACATTTTAAACAAAATGTTGTAATCCTCCGTTAACATTTTTTATAATTTTACGTAACTCAAAAACGTGGTGGCAATTGCGGATTGAATGTTTTTGCTACTGAACCAATGCCGACTTTAATTATTTTATGTTTTGTGTACTCACATTCTTCATACTTGCCTACTAATAGTATTCAAAATATTTCACTAATGTTTGTAGTCAGTAAGTAGATAGTTTTAACAGGTACTTTTGAAATTTTGCTTTTCATTTGTTAAATTTTTTTCTAAATTTCAATCCATATGTTTGTGATTCGAGAGATTAACATAATTGTTAAATAAAAAATCATACACTTCAATACTTTTGAAAATGTCGAAAAATTGATGAAGTTGTTGAAGTAAAAGGAATTCCTACTTGTTTCTGGTTAATGATTGATTCTAATTGAATTGAATTCAGACTTTCAGTAAGTGCTCTCGTTTTAATGATAACTCTCTTCAAGAATCGAAATTCTGCATAGTTTGTTATAAAAGGATGCAGTTGATAAAACTATAACATTTAATATTGAGATTCATAAGTTTCACCTAACATAGTGTCACACAAAAGTCTTAAACATCAAGAAAAAATGCCAATACATATTTTTCATTTCATAGTCAAAAAATGCAAAGAATGACTGAGGTTGTCAGTAGAGTTTCACATGTTCAGTAGGTACTTTATGGTTTTCATTGAAGATTTCAAATGGCTGTCTTTATTGCACAAATGTCTGGCATGGACATGTCTACTGTTCCCTAAGTAGATATGTGAGATGTGAAAACCCATTTATGGTAAATATAAGGTGTTGAACTAAGTCTTATGTCAAAAATTCACATCAAACCCGGCAACGAACAAACATATGAATGGAATAATGGTATAGCGTTGGGACAACACTAAATAAGCATTGGAAAAGTTGCCAGTATCCGTGTTGTGACTTAGCTTCGTTAATCAATCACTTTGATAACTATTATTAAATAAATCCTAACGGTGTTTGAAATCAGAAGACAGTAAGAAGCGGCAGCCACATTTTATTAGCGGATAGAAGGGATAACAAATCTACAAGCATATCAAGCGAATTTGAAGCAGAGAGGAGAATGCATTTATGCGAGCAAATACATAGGCAAATTTATAGTCAAACTGAATATGGCGGGGATAAGAAAGGCAAAGGCTAATAATAGGATTCGAGTACATATATACATGGAGAAGAGAATGATTCATCGAGCGATATTTAGGCTACCAACATTTTAGCTAGAGTCTGTCATGTGGTCAAGAGTACACGTTTATACAGATGCGGTAGTAATCATAATAGTACAAAAAAATATGTAAATTGTCACTGTTCGAATAACGTTGTCTGTTAAGTTAATAAAAGGGCTTAACAAAAATGAACAATAATCAAAATTAAATGTAGGAAAGGTGTATGTGAGAAGCCCAAAATTTGCTGCTGTTTTTATCTAAAGTGAGATGTACTACCTAGTATTAGTAATTAGTATAAAATCTACTGAAGAACTAACTAAATCAACCTGAAGATTTTGCTATGTGAAATATACTTTAGAGGAGTAACATAGAAAAACAAAATACATGGCTAGTATAAAAATTTCTATATAAAACGGCTAATAATCAGTGATACTATTTTTTCAATCTTAATCTTTGTCTGTCTTTCCAAATTTATGGTCCCGTTGATCTAGATTTTAAGTGCAATTAATTAGTTTACATACTTTATAGAAAAGTATAGAAGAAGGAACATTTTTTTATTGGGAGGAGGAAGAGGTTTAGGAATCGACAGAATATCAGCTTATTTACTGTTTGACTAGCTTTATGTACAGTATTAAAAAAGGCAAATCAATCAATATGATATCCAGTCTTAGTGAATAAATATATTTACATGAAACGATCCGAAATTAAGAGCGTAAACTCATGTAATGATAATAATAAACACTGACATTCATTTTACTAAATAACATATGCTTGGTAGCATTAACGAACTTTTCATACAAAATGATATAATATTGCAGCAAATAAACACCACTTTAGAACGAATTTAAGTAGGAAATTATATTGGAATTTTTTACAAAGTAATTATCTGCCATCAACATTTAAACACTTCCAGTCAAGTTTGCCCCGACAACTGTTTTGATACGTAAATTCAGATTTGATCACCTTTCCTTTGCGTAAAGAATAAACAAGAATGAGCAAGTACAGACTTTCCCGATTGTTTGCTTTCGGAATAGTTAGCACTTTAATAGACTGTGTGTTTTATATAAATTGAATAAGTAAACTGGGCGTTTAAAATTCACATTTGATGAGTATAAATTAATCTGGAATCACAAAATATATTCTTACTAGTTAATATAAGTGTTTTGTGGAGATTGTTGAGTGTTACTCAGATTACGAACCAACTTAAGTTAGACAACCACTGAAAATCGGGGAGTATTTTCATCCAAGAGTACTAACGAAGAGCTGTAACTAGTGGATTTTAACCACCGAAGATAGTAGATGATGGTCGCCTGATATCTCGGACTGATTGAAGATAGATTTATACAAAACCGGATGACGGTTTAGTGGTCTAAATGTTTGGAGCTCAACACATGGTCTGGAGGTACTGAATTTGGTCAGCAATGGAGGAATCATGTATACGCACTACTGAGAATTTCAATAATAGGGCGAACCGGGAGTCCAGAGCTTTCTAGTTTCCAATGGTCTTTTAACTTTAGTCGGTTCGTGATCCCAGTAATATTCCTATGGTTATGTAGGTAAAGTAAGATACTCAAATTTTGTGAAAACAATATTCTAATGTATTTCATGAATTTTATTACATTAAATAAGGCTAACTAAACAAATAATATCCTACCTACTAAGTTTTAGATTTCGTTCTAAACGTTTTACAGGTAACTGGAAGTATTATTTTATCCACTTCTTAAAAAAATGTACGTAAATCTAAATTTCAATTAGCAATGCAAGAATATTTCATAAGAAAGTAAACAATTATTTTTTAGTTTCGTTTACACGTTCATGTTTAAGAGGAAATTATTTCATAAATAGGACAATTCACGTTATAAGAAATGAAAAGGGATGTTTGTGATTGCTTGTAATAAACAACTATTATTAAGTAAATGTAGTTTCCATAGTAATGATGAGAAAAAGAAACAGATGAACCAAACACATTGATACTATGGAAATTAAGAATAGTATGGTAAATATCTGTTGGAATATATATATAAGAAATAGTACGAAATGAGTATATAAAGTTAGAAGACAGTCAGAATAAATGATAAATTTTAGCTATATAAATGTCAGTAAATCTTAGTTACAAAATTATCAAAGTTGCAATTACTTCTCCATGTGTGTGCACATGTCCGTAAACTCGTAAGTTGGGCGACATAATATAACATGTTCTAAACAGTGACATACTGTTCGAAATTTTAAGAATGTACTGAACTTATTATTTTTAAAAAACAACTACCTTGACATTATAATTAACCCAGTGGGTTTAGGACTTCATGCCAACATATGGACATTCGATTCACTGCTAAATCATAAGGTAATATAAATAACATTTTTAAGTGCAAGAATGTACTATTATTGATAAAATAATATAATTCCTAAACAATAGTTCAGTAGAGGAAGCAGGTCAAACTTGGATGAATATGTAGGGGTCGGGATCGAACAATGTTGGGAAAAGACGAAGGTATACGAGAGAATTCTCGAAAGGATTTGCTTTTATGTACCATATTATCACTGTGATCTAAATAACTAACAGTGAACTGATTTATATATTTTTCGCACAGATGGTGGGTTCAGTCGACTACCTATCTGGAGTATATGAACTGGCAGTTCTTTTGATATAGTTTAACTAACACAATAGTACGTTCTCAATGTACTGCTATACTTTTATTTGTCTTATTTCGTCTGAGATTATCATTTTGTATCCATTGGTACATACAATACAGTATATACAACCTCGTTACTGATAGAATTAAATTCAACTTTGTAATATACTATATACCTATCTATCACAAACCTCAGTTTACAGTTTATATACCTGAAGACAATTAAAACATTCATTGTTGAAATGTTACAGCTTTCTTAATGTCGATTGGTTTACCTTGAAGATACAATCACAAATTCTGCTTATAATATATTTATGATTGTTTCGGACAGTTTTGAATCATAATACAGATCATACAAACAGATTTTTTAAAATCAAAATCGAAATTTATGATAGTAAATAAACAAAAGTTTGAATTTATATAATTACATATTCCAGTTAATTTGTTCGTTTGGAAATCTGGATTTCTTCTCTTCACTAATTAATATACATGGGAAGATCTCTATTCTGTGCACTCTATGAAATGGAAAACATATGTATATGCCAAACAAATTGTACGTTGAATGACCTTTATCTATTGATATAGTTCAGTTAGAAGTATGCAGTGAATGTACGTCATTGTATAAACGATCAGTTAATTATATTTTTTACATCGAAAAAAGATTGCTATGGAAGCAACAAAATTAAAATAAGCCATTCTAAACAAAAATATATTTTATATAGAAAATGACATTTATGTTATCAAGTATATTTGTTGAGTCACATTAGATAAAACACAGTAAAGAGACTCTGAAGAACATAAAATGAAATAAGTTAATATATCACCGCTGTAATATTTTTTTTAACTACGTAAGATGTAAAATACTATGTTTTAGCTTGAATTTACTCATAGAAAATAGCTTATTGAGATGTGTATTTCGAGTAATTTTGAAAATATTTGGCTGATTAGTGTAGACAACAGGTTATGATCCTTATAGCATAGGTTTAAATAAAATATTAAGATTTTGATAGCTGAAATTATTCGCGACATTTTCGATGTTCATTCAGTGTGCGTACTAAAAGGCCCTTTTCTTTTATTTATTTAATGAATAATTCGTATAAGTCACTTTTATTAGAAACTTAATTTTGAAAGTTATTTCTTATTATATTTATATCTCATTTAGCATGTCTGACCGGACCAGGTTGGACATGCTGACAGCAGATATTTGAAGATAATTCTGTCCACTGTAATTTAAATCTTTAAAATTGCACCTCGATATTCTTAGGGAAATTATTCTTTGAAAGGATACACAGGCTGAGTAATAAACTTACTGTTACAGCTTTACGTCTTTTTAGGGAAAAGTATATCTCGTTAGTTGACTAACTCAAAATACTGGAGTTTTATGTTCTGAGAACACAACATTTTAGTATACTCGCATATTTGTTTATAAATGATTCGAGAAACGAGTTTGTGAATCTAAAATTAATGCTGTACTTTCTCATTTGATTGCTAGTTTACATCATCATGTTGGTTTAATATAAAGCTTTGAATGATCATCTACCGATTTGCTTATAATTACAATTGATATAGCTGAATTATTTTTTGTATAAATGGAACATTGCTAGTACCTTCATGGGGAGCAATGGTTAAGTTATTTAATATCCAATCAGTAGAGATTTAAGTCTCCTCATCCTTCAACAGCATAATTAACTCTTCAGAAGATAGTGTGGCTCACAGTCAAGTACATAAAGCTATTATTGGTATGTGAGTTAGATTAGTATATAAAATAAACGACTGAATTTAATTAAAAAATGAACTAGTCCTATCACATAAATCTTTATATTCATCTATTTATCAAATGAAATGACTTTCAAACTAAAAAAAATGTAGAGAAAAATCTCTTTTGTTTCTTTTTTCTTTTTACTTTTTTTTAGAATTTTTTAAAATATAATTATGAGATCAGTATAAATGGGTTGATTTAATTATTCTGTATGATAATAATTATAAGAAAAGGGAAAAAGAAACAAAATAAAATAATAAATGCATATAAGTAGTATAATTCAGTCAAATTATAAGTATTATATATGAACTCTTTTTAAACTTCATATTATTATTAAATAAGCTGGTATATATTCTCTGAACAGAAAAGTAACATAGAAATTTGAAAAAATAAGTCATTAATCATAAAGAATATAAGAGGAAGTGAAGGAAATGATAATTAAAATATATGCAAAGGTGAATATGAAAAATATAAGAAATAATTTATTTTTCAAATGGTTTAATTTGATTACATGGTAAAGGAGTTGAAGTTATTGATTTAATCATGAATTTTTCCACTTTATCAATACATGCCTCTTGATAATCATGAATCCAACTAAGAAATGAATAAATAAATAAAAAATGTAATAAATAATTAATTCATTATGTAATTGTAATTTATTAAAATATAAGATTATATTTCATGATAATTATTATTAACTAACAATTGGCATAATTTCACTGGTTGAAATCATGAGTCATTTGAAGCTAGACCACCATGGAAAACTGGAAGCAGTGGATGGCCGTTTCGTTCTAGTATGGGACTTCTCAGTAGTGCGCATCCACGATCCCGCCCTCCGCGAGATTCGAACCCAGGACCTATCAGATTCGCGCCAGGCGTTTAACCAACTAGACCACATAATTGGTAAATTCATGAAAATGAGAAATTAGTTAAAATAGAGTTTATGCATAAATTTCTATTTGATATTTAAACTTCTATAAATGACAAAGTGGTTAGAAGTTAAATAATGTACATTTTTACAATTAGTAAAAACTACATTAAATTGTACTTTCATTTGTATGGATATTCGTGAAATAATATGTAAGGTGTAATATATGGTTGATGTTAAAAGCTTTATCATATAATTGTTTATGTTATGTTGTTACATTATTTATGAAATTATCTTACATTTCTTAAGTAGTTGTGAAGATAGTTTGGTTAAAGAGAGAATTACTGAATAATATAGTTGCACTATTTACATTAAACTAGAAATCTTTATGAAGATAAAATGATTTCTAAAACCTAGTAGTTGACATGATAGATAAAATATTCCATAAGGCTTCGAATTACTTTTAAAAAAAAAGCAAATTTTGAAAGAATATGTTAATTTTAAAAAAAGTATTTCAAGTAATTTAACAACAGTTTCATTTAAGAATCTAATTCTATAAATTTTAATTAACAGATACTCTTAATAAGTGATTACACATTACAAAATTAAAAATCAATGTTATGATATCAGAATAAGTCAACTGTGATACTTACTGGCACTCATTAGAAGGATATGTTTTCTTATTTTGAAGGAACTGATAACTTCTGGTGAAATAAAAGCCATCTCTACTTAACAATAATCAGTGATACTAATAGTGAGTTATTGAACCCCTAAGTGATTGTCTGTAGAATTGAGATATTTCATTATTATAAAATAAATATCTAAGTGAATATGAATACACGAGCTAAGACAACTGTATATAGATTCTATTCTCACTTTGTGTATTCTTTTTTTTCAACTTATACAGCAGATCGCATATGGTGGAGACTCTGTTGTATCTAAACGATCTTACGCCACTGACTGGTCGAAAATTTAATGCTACCACCAAATACGAATACTGAAGGAGTTTTTCTGAAAACACGTATGCCATTCAAATTGGCTGCCTTCAACGTTCGCACACTAATGCAGATAGGGTTGGCTATGTCTAGAAAGTCTTAATATCGATGTATGTTGCCTGTCCGAAACCCGTATCCAAGACTGATGAAGTACTACAAATTCGCTCTTCATCTGTCGTCTCAAAAGGCTTGTTTTACGTGCGTTTATCCAGAGACCCCGTGGCATCTTCGTCTGGTTTCTCTGGAGTTCGTGTCGCACTAAGCGCTAGAGCTGAAGCAGCCCTGATCAATTGGATCTGCATTAAAAGTCGGTTATGTGCTGTTAGATTAGAAAGTTCCATCACGGTAAGAAGAAATCGGTGTGAGAAACGATGTCTTTTCGTCATCTCCGCCTATGCTAAAACAGCTTGCAGCCCGGATGCGATCAAGGATACGTTTTACCACCAGCTAACAGTTCTTCTACAGAAAGTGCGTTCAACAGATATTGTAGTACTAGTCGGAGATCTGAATGCTCGATTCGGGCGTCTAGGCACAGAGGACAGTCGTTTAGGTGGCCGATGAGGATATCCTAGTCGTAGGTCAGATAACGGGGACTGTCTACTGCAACTGTGAGCAGACCACAACCTGTTTTCGGCTAGCACTAACCCATGTATTAAATTCGGAATAAGTATATTGAATCTATTTTGCTAATACCGTTGAATAAATAAACACATAAAGATAAATGTAATTTTCTATGCATAAAAATTCACTACATTTTCCTTTATAAAGTTTGTCATTACAAAAAATTTGTGATTGTAACTTGGTGTATGAATAAATATTTTTAAATTAAAACAGGAACACATTAAATGACTAAATTTGTATTTTTCATGATCGATATGATCATTAATAGTTGTAAATGCTTTTTTTTCAAGCAACCTTATCAACTAATGTTATGTGCGTTAAACTTGAATGTTACTACTGATTCGTCTTACTCGGAACGGAACGAAGAATCAAGGATTCAGAGACTCGATAAGCTATACTGGTCCGTTGTCCCCGACTCAGCTAACTTGATCCAGAAGTTTTGGTAAAATGTAGAAAGTGTATTCTACAGACAACCAGAAGATACCAGGTTCATCAAGCACACAAATCAAGAGTATTTATACAAAATATATATAATCGATATTGCCATGGAATTTTTTAAACATTTAATCGATAAGTTCGTGAGTCGACTATGCGCGTGGGTGGTAAATGCCCAAGCATACATCTGCATACAAGCTCCACAAAGATAAAATTACGAAATATGAGTTTTGGGGATCTAACGTCCCCAACAACTAACAATAGAAAAACTCCTTTTTATTCCACTAATCGCATACAACCATATTATTTCTAATCATATACTTTTACGTATGTGTGTGGATAGAAAGAAGTTAGTATCATAGATAGTCCACGGGTATAAGTATATTAGCTGAATGGAATCGAAGTAAATTCATTTATAAATTATTAATTGATTACTAAATGAAATAGACCTTCTAAAGGAATTTTCTCTTTATTTTTCTTGTCTCATTAAAAAAGGCGTCATTAAGCTTCAAATCATACTAGAATGAAACATCGGTATTCAAAGAGCAAATATATTCAGAAAAACTACACTATTTTATGTATTAACTACCTTATTGTTGCTTCTTTTTATATATTATTTTTTAATGCAAAACTTATTTAAGACTGGTTCAATAAATAGAGTGACAAATTGGAGTTGTTAAAAAATTGATCAATATTTAATATCCGTGTTATATTAAAGTATTTCACAAAAAATAGAGCAGAGAAAAATGATACGACATAGTGAGAAGAAAAAAAGGTTGTTTGCATATTTTGAATTGGTTGGTTACTATGCATGAAATAAGGTTGTGGACATGTAGTGAGTGAAAATGATTATAGGACGTAAATATCAATGGAAGGACACTTTTATACATCACTGTTAGTAAACAATCAAGATAATAGTAGTAATAATCATATATAATTGTCATATCTTAATTTGGAAGAGTTTGAGTATATATCACCTATCCAAAGGATAAATAAGCATGTTTGCCCAAAACACTGTTGGCTTATACAGTGCAGAGAAACTAATGGGATCAAAGTCTTAGTATCTACAAACAAGTTTGACTATTTTGATTTCATGTTATTCAAGCGAAATAGTGTTTCTATAGGAAAAATGTCTTGTCTTGAAATTTAAACTAGTCCCTACAAACATTTAGTCTAAACGAGAACTTATAATCTACCTATCAAATCGTCAATAGTAGTGAATGTTAAAATCACATCATTAACGAATATGCAATTAGAATTACACATTTATATTACAAATATCACATTTTTTTCACATACCGACTTGTATACAGGCAAATGAAAAATAACCAAGAATCAAAAATTGGTCTGGATGACAAAATACTAACATAACCAAATCAGTTTTCATGTAATACGTACTTGATCTGACTTATTTCCGTGAGCGATATAGATGTGATAAACTGAAAAGAATTATTGATTCTGTATTTAATTGCCATATATGGTTTTATAGCAATACCTTGTTATGGGTGCATCAGGTTTAACCAGCTAACCTAGAAAATGTCATGCGAAAATGGAATTGATCGGTACGAGTAAATTGATGTATACTGTGTATATCTAGAATTGAAATCGTGCAACTAACTGTCGATGGAAATATTAGATGAAATGTTGAATAAACTGCTAGGTTTGAAGCTATTACGAGTTCGATTAGTAAGCGGACAGAACAAAGACTTGTGACCGTAAACCAGTAAGCTAGCTATTTGATGCGTCCCAGCCCCGCTAACTAGAGGAAGAAGTCCAAGCTTGGAACGGGAAAGTATATTCCGTAAGCCAGAAGCACGAGTGAATAATAACAGACACAAATTAAACGTATATATACAGCATAAAACTGTCCTTGGGAAGCGTAGTAAAAATAGCATACTAAAAATACACAATGGACCATCGGCGTTAGAGATTCTTCCAAGTGGGAAATACGACATGAAGGTGAAAAGTGCGCTTTTGGCGCGAAAACAAGGAAATTTAAATTTCCAAAATAAAATTATAAAATTAAGGCATTTACCAAGTGAATTCTGGGGATCTAACATCCCCAACATAAACATTCGAAAAAATTATTTGCAGTACATCACTCAGACAAACAATATAAGTAGACATATATATAAATTTACAATTATCTATTATTTTGTTACTTGAGTTCATTTTTATTTCACTGAACTTACTTAACTGCATTGTAGGTTGTTATTGACCTTAAATCCTCTGGCAAAGACTCAGCTGGTGGCCATGTAAAATTATCAGTAATTGGTATTATATTACATCCACTTTCCAAGGCACATACAACTTCCTTGATAAATAAAAAAAATGTACAGTAATTAGAATGTTTAATTTAGTAAACAGATGAATAATACAACAACAACAACTAATTTATGATTCTAATAATGTTATCAATGTTTCACATACACATTTTGAAGGCACCTGCTGTATGTGAATCATCATTGAAGAAGTTAGATCGCATTTTCTAAGATCCAACCCCTTCATAAAGTGATTTTAAGTTTATTTGTAAGAGACACACAACAACTGACATCACTGTGGTCAAGACATCAATGTCCACTGAGTTTATAGATGAAACGATTGCCTAATATACAGTCTTAAATTTTGTTTCATAGCAATTATTACGTTTACTTGTATTTCCCTTTCCAATCCAATTAACTTAAAACAAAAGTGAGGAAATAATTATTGTAATCAAGGGTTAGAGACTTTGAGTGGCATGACATATGATCGTTCGCAATTGCATTATTGCATCCACTTCTTATCTTCGTTTAGAACTTGAGTCCTGAAATCTCCTGAAATCTTTTTTTCTATACTTAATCTTTTCTACTACTACTACTACTACTATTACTGATACCTTTACTACTTCTACTACTTTAAGATTTGTTCCAGCAACTTGCAAAAACAATGAGTAGTGAAAGCAGCTATAAAATGTTTACTTAATAATAGTCATTTATAATTGTGATTAGCAGTTACACTAATGAAATTGTTGGCGTACATAACTTTAATTTTAAAAAGCTTTTACTAGATGACGAATTATTTACACGTAAGTATCTATTAACTAAATAAAACTACGAATTATAAATAATCATGTTGTTTGGACATTGAACACAGTTGAGATACATAAACAATAAACAATTGAAATTTAGTCCAAAATACAGTAGAAGTAGAAAACAAAATAGAGGAAATCATATCAACTTTAATGGAGAATTGAAAAGAGAGAGATTACAAGCAAAATAAGTCAACCCATTTAATTTTATGTTGGAAATTACTAAAACAAAATAATGTGTACTATTTAGAATGTATGACTTATAAAATAATAATTGGTGACTGTCTATTTGTTTATTATTTTATATCCATTTAAACGTATTGCTTCAAATCAAACTCTTCTGTATATTCATGAGTTTAATTAAGATGAATTTATTTTAGGTCAACAAATTATTACTAAAAAACTGTAGAATGATTTTTTGATTTGTAGATGTGATGTTTAGAAACTAGTTTCGAAAAGATTATTTCAAGTGGAGTATTCCCCTGAAACGGCTATATATATTCACATACCATATAATAATGAAATAAACGCATATATAGATAAAAATTAACTAACTTTATGTATCCAATCTGTACAATGTATATCATTTAAACATCTATCTAATGCTCTTGGTGTTAAAACAAGAACAAAATTATATGATGATCTAATAGAATGAAGTAATGATTCATGAAATTTTCCAGCAGTTAAACGATCAATATCTAAAAATACTCGATAGCCACGTAAATGAAAATGAACTTTTAATAAACTCGCCAGTTGAGAACCAGTAGAACGACGGTAAGAAATAAATATATCAATATACTTGTTTGGATGACTTGAAGCGTTTAATTTGGAATCATTATCTGTAAGACGTAACTGATTATGTATTGATATGGAAGCTAAAATGAAGGATAAGAAAAGTACAGTTAATCGAACATGTGAATGTTATGTCAATAATGATAATAAAAGTTATAAAAATAAATTTATAAGCACAGTAGTTGTGTATGGCCTAATATTTCAGTGACATGGCCCAAGACAGCAAGATGATCAATGCAAAAATCTCTTAAGTCGATATTATTTGGTAATCGGTGATATTGGAATCAAATTTGTTTCGTCATAATTTGAGTGCTTACACCTATGTTGAGGACCTTAGATCTACAGAACTCACTTGGAAAAGGTCCTAATTCTGTAATTTTATTCTGAAAATTTGAACTTTGTGTTCTCGCACCAAGAGACGCTTGGTTGACCTACAGCTTACATTTCCCACTTGGAAATCCTTGACCGTCATTAGTTGACGGATTTTTTTAGTACGCTATTTTGTGACTCTCCCAATGGCGTTTCTATCATTGTATAAATAAGCTTGATTCGTGTGCTTAGTAAACTCTTATTTTCTGGGTGCTTGTAGAATACATTCTCTACGCCTCATCAAGACTTCTTGATCTAGTTAGCGGGGCCGGGACAACGGATTATAATAGCCTATCGTGTCACTGTATCTTTGACGTTCGTTCCGTTACCGAGTAAGGTGAACTCGTAATAGCATTCAAGCATATCAACCAAGCCAAGACAAAAATTAACATATATCGTCAAAACAATATATCCTCAAGACTTCTTACCGTATAACATGTTAACTGAAAGATTTATAAATGTATGAATTGTTTTCACCAACCACACGAAATGCTTATCGCGATTATGATTAAAAATTTTTATTCATAGTGGAAATTTGTTATCTTTTGGTGTAGTTTCAGATTTCGCCCAGTAGTTAAATGATAACAAAACTATGCTGTCACTTAATAATTAAGGACAATGATCTTGATGGAATCGTAGTGTATAAAAATCAAAACGATGGACTAATCATACTATATAGTAAATTCACAATATTATGCTCATCAGTTTATAACGACAGATTTTAGTTAATACCATATATAACTAACACATTATACCCACAAGCTTTTAATTGTAATCAGGTGTGGAAACTTTTTTTGCTGTGATAAAATGATCAACTAAAAAGAAACGTACTATCTATAAATGCAACTTGTGGATAAGTTAGTTACTAAACAGCTGACGGTTTGTTCATTGTGCTCTATAATGGTCAATAAATTACATAAAATTGAACTTTAGAAAACCGAAAGTTTATTTAAACTTTATACGCTAGATTGTAACCAATTAATTGATTTCACCATCACATGAGGTTAGGTAGAAAAGGAAGTACACTACATCAAATCAATCAAATAATTATCTCTTTCAAAAATTCACCAATCAACTGAATGAGAGGATAGACATTTTTAAGTCCACCTTTATGTATTATTTATCATATGATATGAATGAAAATTGTGCAATATGTTTATGAATAACATTTTTCGAAATGTAAGACAATAACAAGAAATAGTTAAGTCAACGTGTTGTGGTTTATCTACCATTAGAGCGAGGGAAAATGTTATTTGTATGAGGCAACGCGATAAGGTTTTACTATCAATAAATAGCATGTTCAATGAACTTTTTCATTTTTTTATCTTCAACTGTTGTGAACCATATGTCTAGTATATGTATACTAACGATGTTGATTTGAAAAAGAACAAAACTCAGTTGAATAGATTGAAAACCTATTAGCCAGTAATTGGATATGGAATATTTGAGGAAGAAAAATACATAACAGATCCATTGGGCGGAAGCTATTGAAAATGTACTTGGATTTTGTGCGAAATCATGTGCGCGCGTATTTTGATATAGTTTCATGAAATTTATTTATGATTAAGCGTTGCATACAGTCTTGGTTTGTTTACGTAAGAATATTAGATATTGGCTTTAATTTCTGGTGACAAGGAAAACAACGTATTATCGTTTACGAAAGTATAAAACGAAGTAGTAATAAATAAGTTCATTGTAGAATTAAAATTGATCGTGGTAATAATTCTAAGTATTAGTGTCATAAAAAATCTATATCGAATTAACAACTCAGTTGTATTATAGAAAATAGGCTTAATGACATACTATACGGTAGGCGAATAATTATGATGTACAACTATGTTTTATTTCAATTTAGATAATTTGAGTGACGTTTCTAAGATAAGTTTGAGTCGCCATTGACCAGAATCCTTGCTGTATGATAACCTGACTTATTTTCAATCCAAAAGTGTTTTTTTCTTGCAAAATAGTAATCTAAATATTAATCGAAAATACAGTTATCTAATATAGTAAGCATTTCGAACCAACTTTAAAACAGGTAAACGCTACGTTTTACTTACATTGTATTGCTTCTAAAATTCGTTTACGATGTATTCCATTTTTAATGTGACAATCTTCTAAAAGCATTTTATCTGATAAATAAGGTAAGAAAGGATAATGTACACCAGCTGAAATAAAGTTATATGAATATTGAAGAAGATCGAATGATTGATTTAAACAGGACAAATCATGTGTATAACAATATTTCGAGGTATATTCTGATGCATTAGTAGAAGCCGTTGTCCATTGAAAATCATTTTTAATTACAACATAATCTGATGTCGTTGGATTTCTTGGTGTATTCGTATTATTTAAAGCAGTGATACGTGTAGCTTCACGTAGCCAAGCAGAAATTCCAGTTGGATCAACAGCTGAATAATCTGCATTAATCTTCAAAGAGCATAATTCACGTAATAACCTGGTGTTGTTTTTTTAAAAAGAAGAAACAGTGAGATGAAATAATATTACATTTACCTAGATCGCGTGATTCCATTTTCAAGTCCTAAATCCTTCTCTAATTTGAATTCATCTAATCTAAGTAATAAATCACCATCAACACGTAGCTTTGAAAATTTAGTAGCCAAATCTTCAAATCCTCTCTAAGAAAAAAGAAAAATTAAATTTTGTTTTATTGATACATTCATTGTTTTATGTACAGTTAACAAAGCATTATGAACGACATAATGATAATTTAGTCAATGTTATAAAGAACAACGTAACATTATTCAATTTTAAAAATAGATTCACTGGCAGTGACTGTATCTTACGGTATCAGTTTATATATATATATATAACATTTATTAAACATGTATTTCCTTTGTATTGAAAGCACTTTCAATCCTGCAACATAAATACTATCCATTTATATGGCTTACATAAATGTGGTTTTCTGAAAATAAAACAAATGTCGTCTTGAAATCCAATAACCATATCATATAAAAGGAAGATCAATTTTTCCAAAAGACTGATTTTGTCTGAATAACTCCAAAAACGTGTAGTATTACAGTTTCAGCAAAAGTATTATGGATGATTGTTGATCAGTACAGCGAATAAATTGAAATTGAATATGTATAAATAATTGGATCCAAAATCAATGATCAAGATGACGTTTTGGGTACATGATGATGGGAGGGTCCGATACTAAGACAAAAGAGCTATCTAGTGCTCCCTGGTTTCAAATGATTGTCTAACCGCTCGGTGGTATAAACTATCCCCATATTCTTACCCTACTGAAAATGATAGAATTTAGTAAAGTCATACAGGAGCTGTCCAAAATAAATATCACGGCTTTATTTTCTGAGAGCTTAGCAAAAAAATATACACGAAATGTATACCGTTGCATGAGCTCAAAAGCATTAACCATAATATACATGTGAGAAAAAACGCAGGCGTAGTAGTTCTGTTAGTAGAGTCATGTGAGAAACATATCTGTTCTCTGTCTGTTAGTGATAAACAATATGGCGGTGATACTACAAGATACCTAATCATTGTAGAAATTGATGCAAAGTGGCTTATCCTTCTTCTTTACACCAATCCCGAATTGTTAAACTATAGCCATGTGCAGAGTGCCAGAATTAAAAACTACTTGAGCGAGGGAGACAATATTATGACATATTTCATTCCAGATCATTCGATGACACTTGTCATTGGATTTGAAACTAAGACAGGAAGACAGTACTCAATTGCTTTTATCCAGACCAATGTTGTAGATATACTGTAATGTATTATTTCTCAATAATTCATAACATCCACTTTTTATAACCTACTTAGTTCATATCTTAGACGTATGGAGAAACAATTAAACTTGTTAATAACACCGAGCCCCAGACAGTTTTTTCTGAAGTATTATGAGACTAGAAATTCAAACGAAGTTATCACATTTTATGAAAGAATTTCAGAGACTTATATTATGAAAACTGGTAAACTGTAGTTAACCTCTATTTTATCAGTATGGTCCCGACAATTGTCCGTTTTGATAGAAAATAAGATGAATTTATGATTTCTCTGACTATCAAATATACATTTTACAGTCTTTAATTTTTAATTAATTTAATAAAACATGAATCTGATAGTCTATTATAAGTAATGATATATACACAAATCATATACATATATGAACTGACTCGAGTCAACCAGCATTCAACTTCAGCATAATCCCATAACGGTACTTGGGCTGACAATCGACAAGGGACGTCTTCACCTAAAATATGTAGGGCCATTGCTGCGAATTTCGACTCAAGAAAAGTTGAACTACAGACAACATTACGCAAGATTTCTACGATATTCGATTCGTAAAACGCCTTAAAAAGAATAATAATAGTGATACAATCAATTGAAAATAAGTAAACAAAATGTCAAATATTTAGGTTACTTGCCTGACTTAAAAACGTTTCAAAAGTTTGTTATGTATCTTCATCACAGTGTCTTAATTTCTTTATGGATGGTGAATAAGTTTTAGCAAAGGTCTGCTTAATAGTAAATAATAGTTTAGTTTCACTTTTGAAGAACTGATGCGATTCAGACTCAAGTTATACTACTCAGGTACCCGTAATCTTCTTACCTACAAACATTTTGAAGTATTGAGAGCGTCGGCCACTACACTCGTTTCAGTCTAATCAGCCCTGGTTTATTATTATCTTGTGAGATAACAATCGGTAAATAAAAAGATAGTTTAGGTTTCGCTAATTTGCATCATCAGGAGCAGGTAAGATATCTGACTACCTAGTGAATGACAAGTATATGGCACAGTAGATGATTTCATAGTAATCTACAGCTGTAGAACGACCAGTGAAGATAGCACATATATATATATATATATATATATATATATATATATATATATATATATATATATATAGTATTTATTCAACTACAAAGAAAAAAAATAAAAGCCAGGTGTAAAGATGTGAGATTGATTTGCTAGCTGGTACAGGAGTACATCAGGAAAAAATTTAGCGTGAACTAAATACAAATCACTTAGTAGCAAAGACAGTATTTCATATTTATACTATATTATGAATAAAAATATGAAGACAAAAAGTCAATCGGTCAGTAACAACGCAGAACTTCGTACATACGTACATCAGTTCGAGTTGCCATACCAAATCAGCACAGAGATAAAACTGTCGTTTCGAATCCCATAGTGGTAGAAGTAGTAAAAGTATAAGCAGTAATCGTGAAGATAAGGGTTTGGAGATGTTATCCAAGGAGTATAATCCAGTGAAATCAATTTGGAAAGAAAACAAAGGACATGAAGAATTCAGAAGATTAGAATTTGGGAGAACACAGAGAGTTGACGCACGTGCATCATTGCAAACGATTTTGAGGCATGTCATTCAAGGTCTCTAACCATCGGTTGCTATCATCTCGCGGATCCCAACCAGGTAGTCTACACCTAACAACATGACTCAATCCACTTGTCAGTGACTTCATGGATTTGTGCCATGTTTTGGTCTGGCCACCCCTGGCTTTCTTCCAACATAAACCTATACCATAAAAACATCGCACATCGTTGCAGTCTGTTGTTGGGTATACGTAACACGTATCCCAGCCATCTCAACTGATGAAGTTAGACGACCAGAAAGCATATTTTACATGTGAAGAACCACCAGAGCACTCATAAATTTATAGATAATACTTTGAAACATAGGGTTGAAGAAAATTGGGCAAAGTAAGTAGTTGCAAGCAACTCATTTTAACACTTTTGGCTAGATATGAAGACGTTAGTCAAGTTCATTTAACTACGTAAAACAAACGAATACATCTGATTGCCCAAACAAATTTACATGGAGTTGTTAGAATGTATTCTTTCGTTGATTATAGGTTCAATCAAAAAACTTGTTTACATGGTCTTGAAATGTGTACGTCAACAAGTAATGCAAATATGTTATTTTGTTTTTGCTTTTCATAAATTTTCTGACAGTTTTTTAATATAGTATCCTAGTTAGAGGAATAAATACTTTTCTATAAACTGTTTTAGTTATATTAAATGGATCATAAATTAACTAGAACAAAATTGTATATCATCTGTAGGTTATCAGTAATACATAGCATGTATGCTTATCTAACTGGACTGGACTACAATCAATAACGACTATGAAAAAGATAAATGTTTATTGGTAATAAGTTGATATTGAATTATTACAAGTTGTTATACACAGGAAGATAAAATTAAATTAACAACACACTTACATGGCTGCACTTCATATCAGATTTTAGTGTCGCTTCAACAGCAAAATGAAAAGCAACCAAAACACGTGGTTCAAATTGTTTACTGAACATAACTGGTACTAAACGTTTTAACCAATCGACCGATCCCCCTGTATACCGATTTTCACAGCAATAATTTGCAGTGTCTGACTGATTGTTAGAAAAAGATGTCTGTGACTCTGAAGTATCGGATGCGTTCTTCTTACAAGTGTGTTGAAAAGCAGCAACTAAATGTTGACGAGCGAATTCTATTGGTGAATGTGAACGTACGAAAGGCATCACTAGGTTGAGTGTACAAGAAGCATTTACTGCAGCGGTCAATTCGCTTAAAAACAGAAGAGAATAATTGCAGCATATAATTAGTGAGCCTGCAAATGTCTTACTGACAATAAACATTCTCTTAGAGATTATCAAAATATTACCTGAAAAGGAAGTTAAATTGACAAAGGACATAAAAAGTGCTCTTAGCAGTCTAAACATGATTTAAGTACTTAGGAGTAAAGCGTAAACTACTGCTTTTATAAGAACAGGAGATTAGGTTCGAAAGGCTACCTAAACTTAAAACGTGTCCATTCTTATTAGTTATTTCTCTATCACCTTTTCTTTCCACTTCTACTTTTTCTTCCCTCTTCTCCTCTTCCTTTTTCTCTGCCTTCCACTTCTCTCATAGTTTTCCTACCTCTTCGCCTTCTTTTTTTCCGTTTCTCTACTCAGCTACTTCCTTTCACTCCTCACCCATTTCAGATTTTTCCTCTTCTCCACTTAATCCTCCTTCTTATACACCGATCGATTATCAAGCTTTGACCTCCATCAAGAACTATCCAATGTAAAAAAACACGTCTAGTTTTTGTAAACAGCCTAGCTCTATAGAGATTCACTCGGAAATTTAATTACCAAGTGGAAACATCACAAACATCAGCACAATGGCTAACGTTACGATGTTCAGGCTCTTAGCACTTTTTAAAATTGAGATACAATTTATCTGGATGAGTTTTAACAAACGTGGTTGATGAATCTTCCGACTGAATGCTTGAGCAGGTTTCCTAAGTTATTCTAATAACCCCACGCGAAATCTACACGACAACTTGAGCACGAGAGAAAAGGTGAGAAGTAAGGAAAGAACGCTTTGTTCCAAAGTTCGTTTATGTACAGAAAATTTAGGATATTTATAACATTACAGATGGCCTTGGGCTCCTGGAAGGTTGTAGAACCAAACTAAACATAGTAGCAGGATAAGTAACCATCGAATCAGAAATATGGTACGTAACTTTTCACTTTCTAGATGTTTCTGAGAGACTTCTATTCAATTCTGATTGGATAAAATGTTTCCCAGCGTCTTTAGGGTTCCTTAGGGCTTTTTTGAAGGAATAATATGGGTCGCCCCAACACCTTCCTCTAGTGGCTTTCCGACTTAAGAAGCTTAAAAAAGTGTTTATTGAATTTATCATATAATTGCCAACATGAAGACTATTCATGCGAACCTGAAAGAAATAGTTCCATTGTGATTGAGGCCACATGGAGCACATTACATATCTGTACACAAGTTGTATTCTGCGAGTATACACAATTCAGACAGTCACCAAGTATAAAAATCAATATATGTTAGATTGACTCGAGTAACATTTTTCATTAGTTAATGTGAATTACGTTTCTTTTTAGTCCTAGTAATATAGACATTGAAATATAACCTTAGATAGTGGTATTGAGAAAATACTCATAAATTGTTATTTTTTCATAACGCAATGAGTAAGACACTAAAGAAATATGTAGAATCCAATTACTCACAATCTCTATTAATGATTTTTATCGTATTTAGACACGATAGTTTTTAATGAACGTTTTAGTTGTGTTTTTTAAAGCAAGAAACTCTAAACAATTTCGTAACTTTATATGAACTCATAGCAGTAATTTAATTAGTAAGACATTAACTCAGTTAAGGTAGAGATTTGTGAAAGTGACAGATGCTCCAATTAATCTATTACTAATGAAAATTCCCATTTTGCCATTTGGTAAATAAAGAAGGAACGAATTGAGCGAAGAAATTTCTTTTCAATTAGTTTTTCATCATGGCTCTACACTAATATATATATGATTTACAATAATGATATAATACTCATCGAGTGGATACGTTACGTAATAATTACACAATGACATTTAAATTAACATTGAGTAATTGGAAGAAAGAGGATTATTAATATTCAAAGTAATTATTAAATCAAGAAGTTGCTACGTTGAGTAATATAAGAAACAGAGAAGGAACAGAATTTTAACGGATGGTCAATAGGATAGTAGTTACGTAAAAATCAAGAGATGGATGTTGAGCAGTTATAAAGTTCAAAAACAATAGAAACAAAAATTACAAACATTTAAAAAAAAGAGTGGGAGGAGTATGAAAAATAGTTCTTATGATGGAAACCTTATACTGAATGCCAGGGCAGGTCCGTCACCGCATTACAGAACATCATCTGACATGGCTAAGCAATGGACAAGTGAAAGTGATTAAAAGTTCTATTCTCTCTCGCTTGGTTGACACAGGTCATCAAGTCGAACTGAATAAAGCTTTTAAGGTTATCTACAATATTCCATCAAATCTACCACATGGTTTACGATTGCACCTTTTGCACATTGCGGAAGCCATCGCAATCTATGTCTACAAACCTGACCTTTGCATCCAAAAAGAAATTCGTACAACCACTTTCCCTGCCCTGGCATTCAGTATAAGGTTTCCGTCATAAGAACTATTTTTCATACTTCTCCCACTCTTTTTTTTAAATGTTTGTAATTTTTGTTTCTATTGCTTTTGAACTTTATAACTGCTCAACATCCATCTCTTGATTTTTACGTAACTACTATCCTATTGATCATCCGTTAAAATTCTGTTCCTTCTCTGTTTCTTATATTACTCAACGTAGCAACTTCTTGATTTAATAATTACTTTGAATATTAATAATCCTCTTTCTTCCAATTACTCAATGTTAATTTAAATGTCATTATGTAATTATTACGTAACGTATCCACTCGATGAGTATTATAACATTATCAGAATGGGTTTTGTGGAGATTTTTAGAAATTTTACAAGTTGAAATCATGAGTCAATTGAAGCTAGACCACCATGGAAAGTCTGGTCTAGTGGTTAAGTGCTCGCACGCGAAGCCAGTAGGTCCTGGGTTCGAATCCCGCTGGGTGCGGGATCGTGGATGCGCACTGCTGAGGAGTCCCATACTAGGACGAAACGGCCGTCCAGTGCTTCCAGGTTTTCCATGGTGGTCTAGCTTCAATTGACTTATGATTTCAACTTGTGATATTATATCATTATTGTAAATCATATATATTAGTGTAGAGCCATGATGAAAAACTAATTGAAAAGAAATTTCTTCGCTCGATTCGTTCCTTCTTTATTACTAATGAGCTTAGACTATATCAAAAACTATAGCTAGATTTAACTGATCGAAAAGCGTTTAATAATGCATTTTGTTAATGAAAAAAAACAACATTCATTTCTGTACATATATTTTAAAACGTTTAAAATAGTTCCATGTTTTTGTTCATGATTCATTGTTTACTTATTCACTATTAAACACCTACGATTTATAAAAATTTGACATATTAAACGTAATTTAGAACAAGTGATGAGTGAGCAAGTCAACAAACCCACCGCAATTAATTTTTCTACGATCAATCAATCGTAGTTTTAAAATGAAACATGTGGATTATCTAAATTAAGAAACTTAAGAGCTACGATAAACAAATCAAGAATATTGATCCATAACCATGCTCATCAAACCATACGGTACATGAAACGACAACAGTAAAAACCATTCATTATTACTTAAATGGAATAAATGTATATTACCAATCAAGAAATTATTATATGAACCAAAGCTGAAAAGCATTTACAACAATCAACCTGGATTACTTACGGATTAGTAGATAGTACAGCACTAGTTAAACATGCAAAATATTTAATTACTTCATCTTGATGAAATGCTAAACAAAATAACCATTCAATTGCATGTTGACGCATCATTTCACTATGACTTCCACTCCCACCAAATAGTGCTAAACTCATTAGACAAACAGCTGCATGACGTAAAGATGGTAGATCACTTGAACGACAAGCATAAATTAAACTACGAAGACCACCATTTTCAACTACTGTATCACACATTGTTTCTGTATGCTTTAATAAAGCTAAATTAGATGATAAAATCGATAAAAAAATGCATTGACAAAAAGAAATAATGTTTTCTAAATAAAGATAAAAATTCCTCATCACAGTCTTATTTATCCTATATTTCATTATCCGTTTTCTCTATCGTAACCCTAAAATGACAGAAGTATTTCTTATGATATCTTTGTGCAACTTTCAGATGTGACAGGAACATTATTAACATAAATAAATGACCTTTGAATAATCCGAACTTGATTTATAAAACACAACTATGCTTGTTTGTAACTGGCGGACATAAGAATTATTATATCTGATACATAAAAAGGATATATCCAGCAAACATATCAGTGCTGAGTGACCAATGTATGGTTAAAGTCAAGCAATGGATATTAAAGATACTTATAACCATGATAACATCAATATACAGCCTGCTTTTACTTGAATGGCAAATACACCTTGTATACGTTCATGTTCTAAATTTTACAAATGGAGTACATTTTAACAGGAACTGTCATTGGTGAGGTTACTCTTCAATGAGCTAGAATTCTACACCTTCCATTGGTAAGTGGCTAAAAGAAATGAGATTCTAGGACTAGAATTTGTTACATTTTTTACTAAAATGACTCAAATGCGTAAAGGATAATGCATAATGGCATGAAATATCGGGACGATGTCTGGAGAGAATATTACTTAGGGGTGGTTGTAAAGTTAATAGAACATTCTAATGTAGCTGTTGTTACCGCATTTCAAGTGAAAAGTCTGTTTCCTCAAAATATGCTCAGAATACCATAACTACCTTTTCGAATAAATCATTCAGTTCAGTCATCGAAAATGAAGGAAACACTCGAACGTATCTGGAAGGTAGATCGCCCGGCTAGCTACTCTGATACCTAAAGATATTATCAATGTTGGATTGCGCTTTTATCTTTTAAAAGAAATTGAGATAGAAAGTTCATATTCACAAGATATGTCTACTACCGAAAATTTCCTAACTACAAGAAACCATTTCTTAAGTGATCTCAGTTAAGAATAACCATCACCCATATATTAATCAATGTAAATATTGTATGCAAAAATGTATATTCACACTCGAGTCAAACAAATAATGACTCACGTTCTAAGATTCCCAAATATTCACGATAGATATCTACATCTTCACGGTATTCCCAACATTTTCCGATAATATTCTTGAGTAAATTAGTTATGTGCTCATGTGATGGTAACTTATCATTGTACAGTAGAGGATTTTGTGTTGACGATAAAGCTGTGGGAGATAATAATTTTGTGGTACCACTCATATCAATTGATTTTTCATAATCATTATCATAGGTGGGTGAAGTGTTACACGGAGAACATTCTTGTTTATGAATAATCAACTTATCTACTTTGTCAAACTCATCTTTATGCAAAACATTAGGATGCTTTTGTGAAACTAATTTCTTATCTAGTATTTTGAGCAAATGATTTTCTGATAAAATCTAAAAATAAAAAAATATTGATTGCTAAAACGTTTTATACGAGAAAGCATTAGTTTCAGGTTAACAATAACATTTGACTGTTTAAACCGAGTGCGGTTCGAACCTGCAATCCAGCGGTTGTCAGTCGAGTGTACTTAATAGTATGATTGTGTCATATTGATGTGCAAATAGAAATTCAAGGGAAGCTTTATTCAGAATTCTATACAAAAGAAACTATTAAGCTAATTAAAGAATACAATCTATTGTAATCACATGAACATTAATCTACAAATTCTGGTTTCTATAGATCCCTTGTTTATCGCATTCAATCTCGAAATACAGTGAATCATTAGTATGTAGGAACTTTCCAAAACCAAGCTTCACTGGCATTTGTCACAAACTTTGAAACATAGAATGTTATTTTATTTGATTACCCTTTCCCATACCCGGCGTTGACGATCAACTGATTTTTTAAATACTAATTGTTACTCAAAAAAACAGAATATTCACATTTCTTTTTAGTTCAAATCTCCTTATGGTTGTCTCGTGAGGTGACGCTTGTCAAACAGAACTGACTAATTATTTTAGTGTTCAAAAGGAATTTATGAAGGTTGTTACAAATTGATGACACAACCATAGTTCACCGACAAGAAGTAATCAATTCTAATTAAAAACAATAATTGTTGCTTGAAGAGATATATAAAAACTTTCATCAAACATCAATCTTTTACATTACGGCACTACACTAAGGTATGTACTCACACATTTTTCGTAGGCTTTTAAAGCGAAGCTGGGTTAATGAATGCACTAATTATTATGAGATATAACTTACTTTTATGGTAAATGATACATAACAAAACAATTTCACAGAATAAACGACGGTTGTATTCTCAAATTTTTAATCAATGGAAAAAACTAAAGTTCTTATAACTTAATGTATCTTATTAAGTATTTTTTTGTATCTTACGTAGATTAACTGATATGTTTAAATTGATATAACAGTAATCTATAAAAAATAATAAACATTTTATTAGAAATGTTCTTAATATAAAACGTATTTTATCATTAATGTAGATTAGTAAAACCCTTGAAACTATTTTTCAACTTTCTACAGCTGAAAATTTACAAATATACTCGAATTCAATTAATAGAAAATGGATGGCAGACCCATAATATCCACTATTATCGTTAGAAATAGCATTACTGTAATATGCGCATTCTAGTCGATATTCTGTATAAATACCGGGTCATTTAATTTTTAAGTGGTATATATTCATCAGAATTTATTACTAATTTAGCCCTTAAGTAACTTTCAAATGGCTTATTTGTATTTGAAGAAATTATGAATTGAGGATGGATTCGTTTATATCAAATAAAGGCGTAACATATATTTACTCATACCCAAAAATTAACTTGCCAATTTCATCGCAAGTTTTCAAGAACGATTTCATTTATTGGTCATGATGCAATGATTTATTTTAAAAATAGAACGGTGTTAATTAATCTGTTTTGATAATATAAATTGTCAAAAGGCTTTATGCTCAACTATCCGTACTAACGTCTCTGAAATTGGTGACATTAAGTAATCATTATTCATAAAAAAAACTGATGAAATACATAATTAAAGTGCATATTAATTATGATACTATACATGTACATTTTGTTAGAAAGTTCCAGACAAAGTGACAATACGTGCAAATCGAACAAACATTTTAAATACCTGACTGAGTAGTCGTGCTGAGCCAATAACAACTCGTCTGCTAGCTTCATTATACTGATTGACCTTCGGAAGATTTAAGTCCGATGTTGTACTGGAAAGTAATTTCACAGGTTTTCCATCTACATTATCTGTAGATTCTGTGAATAGTTCACTTGTTTCTGGATCATCGTAGTGAGAATATTGCTCATGGATATTCTGAGTAAAATCAGTAATAGGCGCTTCCGAAGTAGACTCAATAGGTTTGATAAGTCTTGATGCAATTGTTTCTAAAAGACCATCAGGTTTTATAAGATCGGCAGTTAAAACATTCAAATCAGCCTGATTTTCACATGCTTGACGTGCTTTATTTAACCAATATTCACAGTTGGTTATGGTCTAAAAAGTACAAAGAAAGTTAAGGTATCTTGATCATGTAATTGGATTGTTTGTTAAGAAACACATTTCTTCGTGAGAATGAAAACATGTAGCTTCGACCAAAATTGTTAGTCTATGCTTCGTGCGTGTTATTAGTCATAAAAATAATTTATCTGGAACTTACATTTGCCTACGCCTTATATGAAAATATATATGAATGACCGAACTGATCGATAAATAGAGCATTTTAGTTAACAAATGAATAAACAAGGAATCGTAGTTCTGGAACTAACGTTAAATAACTTTTGTTGTGATAATTAATAAAGTTGTAGTAAATGTACTAAATTCTATAGAATAACAAAACAATCGAAGTGGTCAAACTCTGAGGTTGTGTCGCAGTACAAGCTTTGATGATTAAAGTAGTTTTTCATGTACTCAAAAACCAAGTCAGTCTATCAGTTTTCCAGTAGAGAAAACACCACTAAAAAGAGGAAACAAATCAAACCCGTATTTATATTGAGCATTAATTTGGATAAAGTAAGAAGAAATCGAAAGTACTGAAGAAATGAATTTGTTTAATTGATGGAAAACGATCATTTTAATTATGAGACACCAAAAATTATTTATACATTCCCATCTATATAGATTCTTTGAGTTAATCGATAAGCAAACTTTTGAAAACGTGCTAAGAATATCGAACACATATGTGATTGATAAACGTTTTGGATATTGGATTTTTCTCTGATTGTGCTCTGATCTCCATCAATCTCATCACTAAACCAATACGCATTTACCTATCAACTTATCAGAGACCAGTAGAGCTGTCTGGCAATTTCAGACTTATCTTTCAAGACATTATAAATGTGTGATATTATGTTTGTATTTGGGATATATATACCTCGAACGACGGCTTAGAAATGTATATCTGTTTATGTAAGTATGAATATACAACTCAGCAGTTTAATTCATGCCGTCCCAGAGATGAAATGAACAAACATCTAGTGTTGGATAAATACGCTAATTGCCGGTAACCGATAATGAATGTTTGCGAAGTATGTCAAACACCTAGCAGAAGAAATTAGTAAGAGTTAGGTACCAAGCGAAAGCTGGTTAATCAGTTAGTGAGATCGGAAACATTTATTAATCGATAATGATAAAACTCGTTGCACAAACATCGTTAACCTTTGTATGCTTTTTTGGCTAGAATGAGAGTAGACTGATTAATTAATGGTTGATGACACTATTTATGGCAATGTAGACGCATTTGTTTTTTATATTCACCTAAAAGTTGAGTTTCATATTATTTCAGTCTTTTGGATTACATTTTCTCTATTTAATTATCCACTGAAGTTGATATTATTACGTTGACATTCATGACTGTCATATTTCTATTATCTTACAGAAATTAATTGCGATGAATCGAACAGATGCACATTTATGTAAGATCCTAAGTTATTACTGACTGGTTGGTGTACTATATATACATGCAAGGATGTCATTAGTTATTATTTTAAATTTTCGTTCAACTGTATTTTAGTTGGTAACTTTATATTTTACGACAAATTTGGAGAAATAATCATCTTGTTGAGATAAATGAATTTTGGCAGAAATGATTAATTATTCAATCATTTTTAATTTCGTATCACAGATCAAATAAATTCTAAAGATACAATGTACTGAATTATATAAAACTTAAAAAGAAAGTAGGTACCTTAATTCAATGAGCTGTAAGGTGTAATTTTTACAGTCTACGATTTCTGATGAATAAATTAACAGAGAATGTAGATGTGAATGATGCCAGGTGCCGACATAATAAGCATTTTTAACTAAAACATTTTATTTTATCAAATTATAAATAGTGAGTTCATTCATTAATTTCAATAGTTCGATCACTTCACATATGATCAACATTAAACCTGTTTTTTAAATGACATCGTGATATCACAGAAAAAAAGGTTGGTGTCCATTTCTAGACTTGTTTCATCACATGGGGTTATTAAAGAGATATCTTAATACCACCTATATTCACAGGTTGATCATATATTTCAATGACGGCTCGTAGAATAATCGAACATCTGTACCGAACGTGATATTGATAAATTATCTACTCAGAGGTGTGTATTTACGCTTTCATATTTAGTGATTTCACGTATGATATGTTCACGTAAAAAACTGAATAAAATAACATGGAAAAGCAATTTAAATCTATCTTTAAACACCTGATTCACTTAAATTTCATAACCTTTGTCAGATAAGTTAATTTATGTGTATCATAAAATGAATTAGAGTGTTTACAAAAAAAATACGGAATTCAACTGTTAACTTACTGCAAGAATCAAGCTAAAAATCTAATAACTCTATGAATAGCATTGATTTATATCTTAAGTAGTGCACGAAGTTGTCACATCGTATCACATAAACCTAACTAAAACATTTGATCAGTCGTATAAAACTTAAAAATTATTGATCAATAATGTTCTTTCCTACCCAGATTAAATCATTAGATTTACTCCAACTTAGCCTTTTACATTATTATTGTACTTTGATGAAGGAATTAGTAGTTTTACAGAATTAAAAAATGAAAATATAATTTAGCAGAATTTTAATTCGAAATGTTTTTTTGAAAAGTACTGTTTAATATCTTTTCAAATTTTCAATCATTATTGGTTGTAAACGATTTATAATATATACAATTCCATGATTACTGGTTTACCTAAATGTATTATTTACATAGACATTATGTAAATATTATGAAAAGAAAAGTTAATAACATTAAAATCTGTAAATAAACACAATAAACAGTAATGTATTTTGTGAAGAGGTGGATATGTTTATCAAATATAAAACAACATGAAAAGTTACCTATTTTATTTGGCTTTTATGAAAATATTAGAACAATAGAATTTATTTTTAGCTTCGTTTAATATGATTTGGTTAATTTTTGCAAAGTAATATTAAAATCGATACTAAGCACTTAGCAACTAATATGGGTATATGAAATATATTACATTTAATTTTACTTTTCTAGACAATAGTAATGCAGTAATTATGTATGAAAAAAGAATTGAATGAACACCGCCAATAATGCTATTATAGGAATAATTATGATAAATAATTAAAAGAATGAAAACTACAGGATGACGTCTATACAAAGAGTGTACAACAGAAATTAATTTAGAATAGACTAAAATTAATTAATTTTATCTTGTATATTTCAATGTTTTATAATTAAATGCAAGCATTACCTTATATTCTTCATTTAAACGATTCATGTCTTTTTCGTTCCGTACAAGTACGGAATTGTTATCTTGTGGTATTGTAGTCATTGTTGTTATAATATTAGCAATATTGTCTGATGGCTGCACGATGGTCGATAATGATGAAGATGATGAAACAGTGAAGGGTGACAACGAAATATGTCTTAGTTTTTCCATTTCTGATATCATTTTTTGTTCAATCATTTGAAAATTGTGATTACTTTTAGGATTAATATCATTGATAATTTTATTATCAACATTATCACTAGTATGATTGATAAATGTATCAAATCTATTATTAAGAACACTTGATAATGATGATGATGTCGTTGATTCGTTAATATATTCTTTTTTAATAGCTTTATTACCCATAATAATTGCGTCGTTATTTGTCAGATCAGATTGATGATCAGTAGTCTTTAAAACAAATTTAGAACTTGATGATACTGACTGATTTGCGTCAGATTTTGAACGATGCTGAACAGATAATAATCGAGTTGAATCAAGATTATAATCTCTTTGTTGCTGCTGTTCTTGAAACTGTCTCAATAAACGTGCACAGTCTATATTTTGAAATGGTGTAAATGGTGTTGACTGTGAACGATTCGTTCCATCTTTTCTCATTATTGGTGGTAAGTTGTGCTCTCGAAAATGCACACGATGCACCTGAACACGTGATGTTGCTAAACCAAACACAAATATGTAAATAAGATTAGAACTAACAACCAATCAAATTCTTTAGATTAAAATATTTTACTACCGCTAACAACACGTTAATGCCAACATCCTAACAAATAAGAAATTCCATACACATTTCTTCGTTAAACTTGAAAAGAGCAAGAACAACGGTGTAAGCAGAATAACCTAGATTCCTTCTATTTCATTTTATTCTCATTCAGTTGTTAAAAACATTTAATGCTCAAACATCATTACTATAAATGAAATTCAGAATGCTTCAATTGATAAAAATAAAGTTGGTCATTAGCTAGCAAAAATAAGTATGAGGATATTGATACAAGGAATCCTAATAAAGAATTGATAAGATGTTAAGATCAGATCACATTAAAAAAGGTTTAATATGATATCTAATTCTAGCATCTAAACTAGTCGGTTTTATTTTATTTGGATTATTAAAATCCTTGTTACACTATTTACGAACTAGTTTGTAATTAGCTAACCTTATAAGTCTTTTTATCAAAGACAAAGCAGCTACATGGGTCGAACAGAAATGATGGTATGCCTTAAATTTTTTGAACATGTTCCAAAAAGCTTCAGAACAACAGAGAGAACGACTTTAAACAGTGAAGTTTCTAGACATTTCTTGAATAAAGGACATCAGGTCGATGCCTTCAATCGTTCAAGGTGATTAACAAACAGAGAAGCTTCAGTCTTCGGAAGTTCGCTGAAGCCGCTGCTATCAGGCGTCGAAAACCTGACTTATGTGTTCAACAGTAGATGGCTATTAATCTTTCCTTGCCTTGGCGACAAACATTCCTTCATTGCATGTTAAAAATTTTTTAAAACTTTTATTTTATTACATCATTACGTCTTTTTATTTCGATTGTCTTTTTGATTAGTAATCTTATTTTATTAACTGAACTTTACTCATCCTACTCTTATTAGCGTTCACTCATTACGTAATCACTTATTTCTAGTCCATTGGACCCTCGTTACAATTAATTCTGTAGGATGTTCTTTTACATAAGGTATGTATTTGCAATATTACGTCTATTAAATTCATTTACACCCTTGCTGTACTGTGTCGTCAAAATAACTTCCGACTAAAATATTTCATGTAAGTAATTTAAGCCCATTCTGTAATTATGACTTATAAAAATCACAGGTTGCAAGCAGCCCATGAGAACAAACTGAAATAAAATGGTCAGTATGAGGTTGTGGAGATTGTTAAGGTCTTGATTGAGATCATGAATCGATTGATGCTAAACCACCACTGAAAATCTGGAAGCGCTGGATGGCCATTTCGTCCAAGTATGGGACTCCTCAGTAGTGCGCATCCACGATCACGTTCGCGGGTTTAGAACCCAGGACATTCGCTCCCGAGAACAAACGCCTAAGCTCTAGACCACTGAGCTAGTCTGCTGAAATATCTGTTGAAGACGATATGGGGAACCATGTGTATGAAATAAATTTAAAAAAAAGGATATCGCTTTAACGTTACAGTTTTGCAATTTCGTAAAATAATAGTCTGGTTCGTGGTGCACAAAGCACTATCAAATATGAATAAGAACCAGTTTGTGGGTTAATATTTGTTCACTTACTAGACAAAATTTTGAATCAGTCACTTTAAGTTCCTCAAAGTACAGTGGAAATTACAGTTGCTAGCTAAATACCAATTTGTATTCTAAAAGAGTAAAAACCACTCATCGCGAATTCAACTTTCGTTTAGCTTGATAATAAGAACTTGTTTAAATCATTCCAGACCTAGTCACTTGTTATTTTTGTTGCGAAATATTCTGAAAACCATTATCATTCAAAGTGTAATTAATCTTAAGCTACTTATTTTTTCTCTATTACCTTCTGATACTCAGATATCTTCAAGGGATTTTATTTTATGAAATCATGTGCTCACTAGTAACCAGCTTCAAAATTCAAATCCTGGAATTCTAGTGAAAAACCGAGGCCAGTGGAGTTAAATCCGCGTCGAGAGTGAGGCATTTATCCATAAAATTCAATGGACGAGTGTTTTGTCATATCATGGATTAATTAAAGTTGGGCATTAATGCCATCGGACACGGGCTCAGTGATCTAGACGTTAAGCAATCGCACGCGTAATCAGGGGCCCTGGGTTTGATTTCTATGCGCAAAGCCACAGATAAACACTGTCGAGGAGTCTCACACTAGGAAAAACGGCAATTCAGCGCTTCCAGTTTTCAATGATGGTCTAGCTAAGATCAGTATTATTTAAACTTTGTAAACCTAAACAAACGTACAACTCTTTCAGTTAGTTTATTCTATTCAAGTCAAAAAGTGTCTCTTGTGATGTATTGGAATTTGTTATGTGCACACGACATAGCATTACATGTTCTTTTACGGAAAAAACGCGAAAACTAATAAGAAGCGGGGATTTAAATAGGTCGTAAAACACTAGTAACTCAAGGTTTCGGGATGTAAGTTACAACAGCGTAAAACATTCTATATTAATTTACCAGATCCACTTGACACCTTTTCTAATTTTCGTACTTCGTAGCTGCGTTGTGATCTGTCTAATCCACAACTAGGTGTTACGGAGGCTTCCACAGCTTCTGGTAAGTCCCAATAAACTCGTGCTTGTTCTGAAACATTTCCAGATGTGTCGCTAAAATAGAAACCACGGATTAGTTGTAAAAATTTTAAATGTCACATTACCACTCGTCGATCGGAAGCTGTCCGTCAAGAAAAAAGCTTGCATCACTAGTTGAACGCTTCCAGTTAGAGTTATCATCTTCTGTAGAAGAGTAATTGGAGTAATCAAAAATGTGTTCACGAAGTTCGTCATGTTTCGATGAACTACTGTGTAAGTTCATCCTGTATAGTGATGGAAGGTTGTAACAATAGCAGTATCACAAGCCTAAAGCTTTTTCAGTAGCGGACCAGGTTAAAAAATGTAATGAACAATCAAAGTTTTCATAGTTTGTTTGCAAAATCATTAGAATCAAATGAACTGATATTTTATTACACAAGTAATTTTGTGCCTGAAAATAAGAATTTTGAACACGTCAGTAAATTTATAATATTTTAATGTACTAAATTATTCGATTATAAATTTTCCGGCGAATCTCGTGTAGTGAATACACTATCTTTAGGTTAAAATTATCCGTTGTGATGAAAACTGAATTCTCAAGAAAAGACATTGATAAATTAAAAATCGAGGAGAGTTTTCACAAACCAAAATATTCGTAATGTTTTTACAAGTATTAAAAATAATTTTACTACGAAAAAATTCTTAAGGCTAAATGGATAGTTTTATTTATTTAAACACGTAAACAATGATACAAGAAGGCACCAAATATATTCGCCAAACTTTGTCATTCGATTTGTATGTGAGCTGGAATACTGCCAGGGTGCCCAAAGCGATAGTAACATCAGTGTTCAAGTTATTATACATTTAGTAAATTAAAAGTAGAGTACGATATAAGTATTCCAGCTAGTGTTATATGGACTAAGAACGCGCTGCGCAGATTACTGTTTAATTTGAACGTGACTGGACAAAAATACTTATGTAGTACGAATAAGCTCAATATTTTGGTGGTTTCGGATTGACTTTTACTCACTTCATCAAACCTTAAAAGGTGGATAAACATTGAAGAGTTTATTCGCTGATACTACTGATGACCACACAATCGAAGATCCTCAATTTATAAAGAAATCAGACTTAACTTTGATGGCTAGTCATCAAAGATGTAGTTTTTAAGAAGCCAGGTTTGAACGTTTTTCCTAACTTTCTAATTTCAAAACTTTTTAAACAGGTTTTGGTCAGAGTTTCGATGGAACTTGATCACAGAAAAGTCGTTGTGTTTATGCACTTACTCTGCACGTCACATCAGTGCAACAGTTAACCTATTCAAGAGTACTAAAAATCCGTATTCATTAGTTTGTTTATTTATACTCTCTCGTTAACTAAAAATATTCCTGCTCAACAACTAGTGAACAGTATAAAACTGATAAGGACTCAGACTTGAAAAAACTAAATCGCAGACAGCGCTTGAGCTATGTTGCATTACATTCTCACTTATTTGCTAGCACTTTATTCTTTAAATGAATTTCATCCAGTTTTATGTCCTTTTGCATTCCGATTGATAGGATAGTAATACTTACAAGAGCTGAGGGTATTTTTCAACAACACATAAAAGAAAAAAACATCATACTGAAATCGTTCAGCGACTTCTTTTACTACTATTAGGAAAAGTAGGATTTACCAAGATAAATGAATTAAACGCAGTTATTTCCCTTCCCAGGTAGTAAAACTTAACGTGAGTAGACAATATTGAGCTCCCGATACAAAAAGACATTTTAATACATTAGAAATAGTAATTCCTTGTGATCTAAGCTGACCACAAGTAAGTTAACTTATAAAAAGGAAGTGTTTGAAGCTGTTAATTTAACAGTGTTAATAAGATTGTTTCCAACAGAGCCTCTCCGAAATACATTAAAAAATTACAACATTTTCAAAGCTAGTAAAGCATTCAAAGTTGATGGGTAAGACTCTTTTGCAGTTAAAGGATTGTTTGATATCAGCCATCCTTCTTGCTTTACTTTAACTTGAAGTCACCTAACATGTCAGATATCACTAAACTTTTGTAGCCAATGTATTGTTTCATTACAAAAGATTTCTGACAAATCTATGGGGTACATTTAGAAACGTACTTGCTTCCCTTTCTAAATGTGCTCATACATTAACTACTAAGTTTTCATTACTTAAAGTATTTTGGGGAGGAATAAATCTCCCCCTGGTTCCAAATCATGCTTGATTTGCACAACTTCAAAATTAAATCATTCGGTACGAAGCGTTGGATAAAGCGTTGTTTCATGAGTCAATAACGTTTACTGGTTTGTTTAGTCTATGAAATCAATAAAAGAGAAAAAACTCACTTAACCTATCAGTGAGGTACGGTCATCAAGTTCAAAAAAATTTCTATTTGGTTATTGTTTTAAAATTCAAACTACAATCTTCACTACCCTTAATTTGCAGTCATGTGTCTAAGCAAGTAACGAATATGGGAGTGATATGAACCAGCAGCATCGCTACAATACTGTTTCTGAGGAGAATCTGCTCGGTAAAATTCCCTTTTATTTCCCCAGTTTTTTTGTCGAGTTCAAATATAGAAACTGCTTATGACATCAAGAATTATTGTGTATGCTTAGTGGTCGATAACGAGGATGTGTTAGCAAAAGCCAGATTGAACCTCCGGAAAGCAAGTATACGAAGTGCTTAGAAAGAACAGTGGTAATTTTCCTCGCTGAGTTAGTATTATTATTTTGATCATAAATTACGCATCAAAACTACTGTTTTCACTTTAGTCGAATTTATTTCACTTAAAGTATTCGCCAAGAGTATCGTTTTTTCAAAAGCAATTTATCGGCCGTACTTTGGAGTATGTTGGATTTTTCACACTTGTCTGGACATTTGGGTCTAACAGTTTTTCACTTTTTTTCTGGTCATCAGTTACTTTTGTCTTTGGATATTGTTTGTGTCTAGTTCCTTTCTGAAAACCTCCGATCGATGACTTAACGGTACAAAAAAAAACCAATTAGAACTCTATGGTCAATACGTAGGGCCTTTAACTATGACGACGCTAAAACCTTTTTGACTTTGTATACAGTACCGTGCATCCTAAACTCGAAAACAGCATACAAGTGGCTGGTCCCTGTCTAAAAAGAGACAGCGAGCCATTGGAAAAGGTTCAAAAAACCTCAAATAAGTTGATTCCTGAGATAACAAAGTTCCCGTATGATGCTCGACTGGCTAAGCTAAACCTATTTCCATTGTCACATCGAAGAATCAGTAGCAACTTGACCATAGTTTCCAAATTACATAATGATAAATTTGCATTAGATGTGCTCTCGTTTTTCTTTATTTCCAAAGTGCAAAATTTACGAGGACAACATTATTGGTTCACAACCCCAAAACAAACTACTTGTCAGTTGACTATCGACTTTCCCATCCAATCATCAACAAATGTAATTCACCATATCAACACGTGATTGAAGCTCAATCTATCTACGCTTTCAAAAGGAAGTTGGATCAACTGAAAGACCACCATTACCAGGAATAACCGAGGCCACCTAGCCTCCCCTCCTTTCCAAACTGCAACTGAAACCAGATGACCTCATGTTCAGAACTTTTGACGAACTAAACAGTAAGTGATTAGTCTGCCCTTCAATTACATGGATAACTTAGACTATATGCACTACATTCCTAAAAATACTACAAAACCAAGATTATTAGTTGAATATAAGTATGTAGTTTATGTCGGTCATTCGCATAACTAAGAGTAGAGTTCCAGCTGTTTCAAGGTGGCAAAAGCTGTAGGTTAAACTCGTAGGTTTAACTTGCGATAATTAGCGCTGAAAACAGTACGCAACTAACACAGTATTTCTTATGGACTTTGCTATGAAATAATCACGTACATCAGCACAATATTAACATACGTAACCTCGTCAACGTTGACAAATAATCCAGATCAGAATTTTTACAACATAAAAACGAAACTTCATTGAAGATCAAAATATTTAGATGAACCCCACCTAAAGTAAACACAACGGAGGAATAATTATACTAATGGAAGTCGACCACTCCAAAACATATTGTTTATTGGATCTTTGATAAAAGAGATAGGCAAATTCAAATGACTAAGTATGAACTGAGATATTTTCGGATAGCTTTTAGCAAGAATAATGCTCACGCCAAAAACTAAATACATCATTATAAGTCATGAGATTTGAATTCTCTACCGGAACACGTAATATCAGCACCGCCTGTTAATATATTCAAAACGAGATTGGACCTCCACAGTATTACAAACTGCAAGGATTAATATAGGTCGACAGACCTCCTACCCTTATTACTGAAGACAAGTCATTTTAAATCAAGTCTGTCGTTTAATAGGCCGCAGTTATACTTCACCCCGCCATAAAAGCTCATGAGCAATAGTAAAATATCATTTGTGAGTAAAAACGTAGATTATAGTCTAAACACGACTTAAACTAACTCCAAACACCCAGAAACTCCAAACATTTTCAATGTTGCCACCATTGAACAAAAGGCAAACTTCTCTTCAGTTCAATGCTGGACATGTGTATTGAATAATTCAATGTTAGTATTGCGAAATTATGAAAATGGAAAGTTCTAAAATTCTTCGCTCTCAATGATTAGCTTTTAAAGACGAAAATAATTACTGTGAATATATAATCACGCGCATATATTTAAGAATTTAGGATACGTTTATTTCCAGATCTATTTAAATTAATAGAACGTATATCATGCTTACTAAGAATGTAAGAAACTTTGACGGAATAATATATTTTGTCGAGTTGTTCCTCATGGTTATCAAATTTTCAACTACAAAATAATTTCCAGTTATCTAAACGTTTATGTGGTGTTATATCTAATAATTCAAATTATTCTAATCATCATACAAAGGAAGTGTTTCGGAAGACATATAAGAAACTCCGCTTGGTTATTTTTCGTGTATAAGTCTGCTCAGCTACCTATTAAGCTCTAGGTGATGAGAAAAAATGATTAGGGTTTCAGTTGTTTGTTGCCAGGTATTAGGTTTAGTACTTGAAAAATAACGATGGTCGACTAATCTAATGTAATTTCACGCGTCCTGTGGTCATATCAGCAAAACCATACACACTTGACATTTTTCTGAGATTTTCATTAATAAAAGTATGTCATGTTATAACATTAAAGCTGTTGAACCTTATTTGGCCCTAGTTACATCCGTTCGTTCAAATTTCATACACTCAAGGTGGTTGAGCAGTATCGTATTGGAGTCTGAGACGGAGTAATACATAACAGAAGCATGAAGATTATAAATTGCTTGTTGACTTTACAGATGATGTGAAAATCGGTCATTTTGGTTGCGCAATACTGTATCCTGTCTAGTTGTTCTTTGTAACTCACTAAACTTTGAACGTTGTGTTAGTGATCTGTAATGCAAAATCAGGACAGCTTGTTGAACCTAACTGATGGTGTCGCTAGAATTCTGAGAAACGGACCAATACTGGGGATAAATGTCTCTCTGTTATAACTATTCATACCTGATAATATATCTGATAACACAGCCGAAATTCTCTTATGTGGTAATGGCTATTTTGCACGCCCAAGTTGAGTTAAGATGCAGAATACTTAAAAGTACTTTCACTTTTTTCTATCTTATTTGAATGCTCATCTATTGGTGATTTACAGGTTAGTTACTGGATATTCTTATGAAGTACCAGTAGGTATACCAAATTCGACCACTTCTGCCAAGACTCTAGAATTTTCGAGGATGAAGTCTGTCTTCAAGTCAGTTTACTCCTGATATCTTCATTTGTTCGCAGCCACTTTTATAGAAGCTGGTTGGAAAAGGTGATTTTCAAATGCAACACGAATATTATGCAGATCACATATTAATCATAATGTATTGATTTATCCCATAATGCGAAGAGAATAACGATGAGGTGATTGTGAAGCCGATCTGCTATAGCGTAGAACTCTCAGTCTGAACTTGACCTAAGGATGGATAAACAGTGATGACTGTAATTCTGATACAAATACGGATCTTTTCCACATTTTTCAACACATTTCTGCTCAGCCTAATCTCGTCTTTCTCTCCATTATTGACAACATACAACATTCTGAAACAACTCAATAAACCATTTTACTCGCATTTTATTTTATGTCAGCAAGATATCTGAAGAAGGTCATGGTTATGCAATACGTCAGACCTACTACTTTGATCAAAGGGTTGTGATTTGTATTTGTCAACTCGACCTACATCCGAATAAGAAGGACCACTATTTTAGTCATAATGAACCAGTAACGTTACTCAAACAGTTAACGTGACAATATATGATCATTAGAATTTGAATTATAGTACGAACTAAGAATCCCAGAAATAACACAACTGGATCAAGAAGTACACGATAAGCACGAGTGCATGGAACGTATTTGGAATTCGAAATCAAGCATTCAAAAAGTATAAAGGAATCGTCAGTTCATTCAAACACCACAAGAAGTCACATCGTTGTCTACACTGACTGATCGTATCGTAACAATTAACAAGATGATACCTGGAGTTTCCATGGAACACATTTAGGTTAAAGATAGAGTAATATATTTGGTGTGAGTGATGTTTCACGTTAACTGGAAGCCCGGATACTGCGAAACTATTCGATCAAATTTAGACGAAAATTCTTGTTGAGTAAAGACAAGTTAAATTGAATTGAATGTTCCTGCGTTCTCTATTGTTAACCTTTTATTCGTGTCAATAGCTGAATATAAACCTTTTCAATAATTATATGCTCGGCCTCAAAGGTCATGTAGTTGTGGTCGACTGCTACTACATGATCACTAGTCTTGTTTTTCCATAAATAAAACAAGAGGTATCTACTAACACGAAATCTCCATTTAGATGACTACAAACTTGTTTTCCTTCTATGATATGCCTAGTAGCAATGGGTGGATCATGGAATTCCGAAGTTGCATTATTGATGGTGATGGCCTGTTTCCACAATGTAGAAACTTACAGGTCATTGGTGATCGAATATTATGTATGAATCATAGGTAGAACGTTTAGGCCCAATGTTATCCTCAAAGAAATTAAGTGCATTTTGTTACAGGGTCGAAACTGAAATTTTCAAATTTTTGAATGAAATGACAGATTAAGTGTTTACAATAGTTTCAGTTTCAGTTCCAGTTTGGAAAGGACAGGGGGCTTGATGGTCTGTGTTAGTCCTGACAATGGTGGTCTCTCAGTTGACCCAACGTTCTTTTGAAAGAGTCGACGGATGAAGCCTCAACCACGAGTTGAGGTGATGAATTCCACTCGTTGATGATTGGGTGGGAAAGTCGGTAGTCAGATGACAAGTGTGTCCCCGTAAATTTTCTGCTTCTGAAGACAATGAAAATGAAGGCATACCGAGTGCAAATCTATTACCAAGTAATTTGAAAACTGTGATCAAGTCACCTCTAGTTCTTCGCTATGACAACGGGAATAGGTATAGCTTGGCCAACTGAGCATCATACGGAAGCTTTGCTGTTCCGGGAATCAGATTAGTTGCTGTCCTCTGAACCTTTTCCAGAAGCTCACTGTCTTTTTTTAAGCAGGGGATAGCCGCTTGTATGCAATACCCAAGTTTAGTACGCACGAACGCTGTACACAAAGTAAAAAAAGTTTAAGCATCGATATGAATGAAGGCCCTACGTATTGACCATAGGGTTCTAAAACCTTTCGCAGTTGTTGCACAGCAGTGTGCAGAAGTCCTTAAGCTTTGACTAACGACGAATCTTAAGTCATTGTGTGTCTGGACAACAGGTAGCTCAATGTTACTCATCGTGGATGTATTTGCACCTTGATGACTAATATGCATCACAGTACACTTGGAAGTAGTTATCAGCAACTGCCAGGTTTGACACCATTCAGGTACTTTCTTCAGGTCGTTTTGGAGTTCTAAGCTATTATCCTTACATTGTATCATTCTTCATATATTGACATCGTCAGCATATAGCAAGACCGATGATGACAGGAGACGAAGATGGTCATTTACATACAATAGGAATAGCACTGGCCCAAGAGCTGTATCCTGGCACACTCCACTAAGCACAGTTTCCTAGCTGGATAACTTTGAGTTCACCTTTACTCTTTGTTGGCGCGCAACTAGGACGTCTTTTATCCACATAAATAGATTGCCTCCGATCCCGACATTTCTTAGCTTATATAACAGCTGGTTGTGCGGAACTTTGTCAAAAGCTTTGCTAAAATCAATGTAACTTTTGGCCCTTCATGAAACACTAATAAGTTAGTGAGACAGGCAAAACCTAATCTAAAACCGTGCTGCTTCTCCGAAAGGATCCGGTTTTCATCGAGGTACTTAAACAAGTGCTTCCGAATAATCTCTTCCAAGGTTTTGACAATCACACTAGTTAGGCTAACGGGTCGGTAATTCTCAGGTTTGTGTTTCGTACCTGTTTTGAAGACAGGACTTACTATGGCGTTTTCCAGTCTTTGGGTAAACGACCCTGCGTTACGGATAGATTAAAGCATATACTTAAAGGGTTCGAAACGAAGTCAGATAATTCCTTCAGTAGCCTAGGATGTAATTCATCGGGCCCCGTGGATGTACCTATGTCAAGCTTATTTAGTAGATCAAAGACATCGAGTTGTTTAATGGTCACGCTATCCAGTGTATGTGTGGGGGATCTGTATGCGCTGATGGGAAGGGTGCTTCTATGGTGTTAACATTGCTGAAGTAGTTTGAGAACACTTGAGCCTTACCAAAGTCGTCCTCCACTAGTGACACGGAAGTACTGTCTCCCCATAGAGCAGGAATATTTCCTCTTCTCTTTGTCCTTTGGTTTATATAAGAATACAAGCGTTTAGGACATTCTATGGATTTCTTAACAATCTTTTCTTCGTAAAACTTTCTAGACTTACGGAGGGTCGAGGCACAGGTATTCCGGACTTTTCTATACTGGGATTTAGTTTCATCGGTTCCCAGTAACCTAAATCTATCCCACATTTTTCTTCTCTTACGGAGAAGGATGCGAACCTCCCTACTGAACCATGGTGGGGAGTTTCTCGGCCCCTTCGGTATAGTCCAAGGGATGTGGAGTGCGTTAAATTTTAAGTATGAATTTCGAAATGCATCCCAAGCCGTTTTAATTGAGGACTCCTGGTCTATTGTCCAAATTACTAAAGATGCTGAGTGCATGATATCTGGTATGTTTGCTTTACAAACGTTCGGTCTGGATTGAGCTAACGCGTGCTCGCGATTAACAGTTATATGGAAGTCGAAAGTTAAAACTGCGTGGCATGTAATGGAGGTTCGCAACGTCATCCACATAGTGAGTGAGTATCAGATCTAGTAAGGATGATTCAGTGTCCGGGTCGAACCTAGTCGCTTATTTACATGTTGCACTAGGGCACATGTAATAACCGCATCAACTAGTTCGTGCTCGAAGGAATTTTCTGACGATTCAGTTCGCAGATTTTCCAGCCTACTATAGGCGCATTAAAGTCCTCTAGGACTGGACATCGACCACTTTGTGACCAAGTATTGAGACTGCTTAGCAG